GGGGACATTGGTCGCTTGTGACCCTAATCACTGTTTCTACGTTTTGAAGTAAAAAAGATAGGGTCACAAGTGACCAGGTGTGCTCGAAGTCCCACACCTGCCACACGAAAATGGTGCGGCACCTTTGTGGTCGCCTGTGACCCTATTCGTGCCCGAAGCATGATTTTTGGAGGAAGTCTCGCAGAAAAGCTTCGTTTTTGAGTTTCGTAGCTTCATTTTTGAAGGAAGTCTCGCAGAAAAGCTTCGTTTTTGAGTTTCGCAGCTTCATTTTTGAAGGAAGTCTCGCAGAAAAGCTTCGTTGTAGAGCTTCGAAGCATCATTTTTGAAGGAAGTCTCGCAGAAAAGCGTCGTTTTAGAGCTTCGAAGCTTCATTTTTGAAGGAAGTCTCGCAGAAAAGCTTCGTTTTAGAGCTTCGAAGCTTCATTTTTGGAGGAAGTCTCGCAGAAAAGCTTCGTTTAAGGGCTTCGAAGCTTCATTTTTGAAGGAAGTCTCGCAGAAAAGCTTCGTTTAAGGGCTTCGAAGCTAGGTTTTTGAGTTTGGAAGCTTCAGTTTTGAAGGAAGTAGTCTCGTAGAAAAGCTTCGTTTTAGAGCTTCGAAGCTTCATTTTTGAAGGAAGTCTCGCAGAAAAGTTTTTGTGTTTGAGTTTCGAAGCTTCATTTTTGTAGGAAGTCTCGCAGAAAAGCTTCGTTTAAGGGCTTCGAAGCTACATGTCATTTATTTATCTATCTATCTATCTATCTACCTATCTATCTATCTATCTATGTATCTATCTATCTATCTATCTATCTATCTTTCTATCTACCTATCTAATTATCTATCTATCTATCTATCTATCTATTTATCTATCTATCTATCTATCAATCTATCAATCTATCAATCTATCAATCTATCAATCTATCAATCTATCAATCTATCAATCTATCAATCTATCAATCTATCTCTATCTATCTATCAATCTATCTCTATCTATCTATCTCTCTCTATCTATCTTGTTATCTTATCTTATCTTATCTCATCTTATCTTATCTTATCTTATCTTATCTTATCTATCTATCTATCTATCAATCTATCTCTATCTATCTATCTCTCTCTATCTATCTTGTTATCTTATCTTATCTCATCTTATCTTATCTTATCTTATCTATCTATCTATCTATCTCTATCTATCTATCTCTCTCTATCTATCTTGTTATCTTATCTTATCTTATCTCATCTTATCTTATCTTATCTCATCTTATCTTATCTTATCTCATGTTATCTTATCTTATCTTAACTTATTTTATCTTATCTATCTATCTATCTATCTCTCTATCTCTCTCTATCTCTCTATCTATCTATCTCTCTCGCTCTCCCTTTCTATCTTGTTATCGCTGTATCTCTTTACCTCAACTTCTAAAAACGGTCCGAACATGGTGTGTTTTGTACATGTTGACTCTCTCTCTCTCTCTTTCTATCTCTTTATCTCTCTATCTCTCCATCTCAACTGCTAAAGGCGGTCCGAACATGTTGGTTTTTGTGCATGTTGACTTCGAAATGGACGTCACGCCACAACGGCGTGCACAATTTTGTATTTCTCATCTGGGCAGCTGGCTCCGCGCCCGCCGCTGTAGCGAGCTTACTTGTCGACCCTCCGGAGCCACAAGGCATTGGAAAACACTACCTTTTGGCTCCTCTGCATCTTCTTTCTTCTGACTCGTTCTCTTCTCTGATCTGCTCTCTTCTACTCTTCTCTTCTCTCTGCCTCTTCCCATCTCTGCTTTTCATCTGCCCATATTGTCGGAAGTTTGATTTCGAAACTTCCTTCGATAATGCAAAATATATTCACGAAGAAAGTTATACACAGACAAACTCGCGGCCAGACAATTATACAGAAAGTTGCGGCCAACCTTAGCAATCCATGCGTCGGTGATGCACTGAATTTCACCACCATTGACAATGGTATAGTATGATAGTATACTGTTATATCCATGCATGTCCATCTATTTGTCCATTAGGGCATTAGGGCATATCCATTCACATTGTACATGGGTTGTACAAGTCTCGTGACCTTCCAATATGTTGCACTGTGGTGCTCAAATGATTGCTGAAATCCTGGGAGAAAGATTAGTTTGTGAAGTTCATGCGCGCACTTGCGCTAAAGAACTTTCAAATCGCATGTGCCAAGTTGCAGTCCTCAATTGTGCCAAATTTGGTATTGTGTCGTCCGCAGTGGCATTTTGCCAAGGCAGAAGGTGGGTGCAGCATCACGTAGACAAGAAACATATAGTTACGTATTAGGCTTCAATCTGCTTCATGTCGTATCACCGTAACGAGTCAAGTAATGATGTAAGTACGATGATCCGTCCCCCCTAACCAACCCCTAAATGGCTGAGTCAAGCAATGATGTAAGTAGAATGATCCCTCCCCCCCAACCAAACCCTAAATGGCTGAGTCAAGTAATGATCTAAGTTGAATGATCCCTCCCCCCCAACCAAACCCTAAATGGCTGAGTCAAGTAATGATGTAAGTAGAATGATCCCTCCCCCCCAACCAAACCCTAAGTGGCTGAGTCGAGCAATGATGTAAGTAGAATGATCCCTCCCCCCCAACCAAACCCTAAATGGCTGAGTCAAGTTTGGTTTTAAAATGGGGGGGGGGGGGGGGAAAAAATTTTTGCTAGTTGAATTGATTCCCTCCCCCAAACCAAAACCTCTAATATGGGAGGAGTCAAAGTAATGATGTAAGTAGAATGATCCTCCGACCCAACCAAACCCTAAAGGGCGGAGTCAATTAATGATTAAGGACAAATGATCCCTCCCCCATAACCAAACCCTAAATGCGAGTCAAGTAATGTATAACCGTCCCCCAAACCAACCCTAAATGGCTGAGTCTGAGTAGTAATGATGTTTTGTAAGTAGTAATGATCCCTCCCCCCCAACCAAACCCTAAATGGCTGCGTCAAGTAATGATCTAAGTTAAATGATCCCTCCCCCCAACCAAACCCTAAATGGCTGAGTCAAGTAATGATGTAAGTAGAATGATCCCTCCCCCCCAACCAAACCCTAAATGGCTGAGTCAAGTGATGATCTAAGTTCAATGATCCCTCCCCCCAACCAAACCCTAAATGGCTGAGTCAAGTAATGATGTAAGTAGAATGATCCCTCCCCCCAACCAAACCCTAAATGGCTGAGCCAAGTAATGATCTAAGTTGAATGATCCCAACCCCCCAACCAAACCCTAAATGGCTGAGTCAAGTAATGATGTAAGTTCAATGGTCCTTCCCCCCCAACCAAACCCTAAATGGCTGAGTCAAGTAATGATGTAAGTAGAATGATCCCTCCCCCCCAACCAAACCCTAAATGGCTGAGTCAAGTAATGATGTAAGTAGAATGATCCCTCCCCCCCAACCAAACCCTAAATGGCTGAGTCAAGTAATGATCTAAGTACAATGATCCCTCCCCCGCAACCAAACCCTAAATGGCTGAGTCAAGTAATGTATAACCTCTCCCCCCCAACCAAACCCTAAATGGCTGAGTCAAGTAATGATCTAAGTACAATGATCCCTCCCCCCAACCAAACCCTAAATGGCTGAGTCAAGTAATGTATAACCCTTCCCCCCCCAACCAAACCCTAAATGGCTGAGTCAAGTAATGATCTAAGTACAATGATCCCTCCCCCCCAACCAAACCCTAAATGGCTGAGTCAAGTAATGATCTAAGTTAAATGATCCCTCCCCCCCAACCAAACCCTAAATGGCTGAGTCAAGTAATGATGTAAGTAGAATGATCCCTCCCCCCCAACCAAACCCTAAATGGCTGACTCAAGTAATGATGTAAGTACGATGATTCCTCCCCCCTAACCAAACCCTAAATGGCTGAGTCAAGTAATGATGTACGTAGAATGATCCCTCCCCCCCAACCAAACCCTAAATGGCTGAGTCAAGTAATGATCTAAGTTGAATGATCCCTCCCCCCCAACCAAACCCTAAATGGCTGAGTCAAGTAATGATCTAAGTTGAATGATCCCTCCCCCCCAACCAAACCCTAAATGGCTGAGTCAAGTAATGATGTAAGTAGAATGATCCCTCCCCCCCAACCAAACAATTGCATGGTGGAGAGTTTTTAAAGGAGACATTTGCATGGTGGAACGCAGGGGGGGTGAGAGTTTTTAAAGGAATAGGGTCGCAAGTGACCGTTTTTTAGGGTCGCAAGTGACCGGGGATTTTAGGGTCACAAGTGACCGTTTTTTAGGGTCGCAAGTGACCATGGACCCTCTATTTGTGGTGACCTTCTTCTCTTGGTCGTTTGTTGGTCTTTCTTTGGCACATGCGCATGATATGTGCCATGCGGATGAGATGCCGGGCTGTCTGCTGTCTTACCCTGTTCGATCTTGATTTTTGACTGCATGAGCTCAGGACTTCTTATTGCTTTGCAATTGATCTTCGTTCTTTTTGCAGGATTAGCCTTAGTTGTGCTATGTGTTGAATTATTGTGTTTTGCCTCGGGGTGCTTGGCTGCCTTCTCGAGCTGCCGAAGGACAAGCCTTGCATGCTTTGTGGCCAGCTGGCAGCGAAGGAACTATTTTGCAGCCGCTCTACCAAAGGGTGCTGCCCCCAGCGGCTGCAAAAAACTCCATACGGACATGTGCATACGTGCATTGGGGTGTGTACACATATATACATGATTCCACACAACATGATAAAACCATGTAGAAATGCACAGCTTGAAGAGGACCAATGCGATGAAACAAGGCCTAGAAGACAATTAAGATAATTAAGTAGATTCTTCTACCAGACTTGTACTGAGCTGATTGGTCCACCGAGGGCTGCTAGGCAGCTGAGGCAAAAGCACTTCCTGGCACTTCGTCGCCGCTCTTCTTTTTCATTCCATTTCTTTCAACACATGTCCCTTGGATGCGACAAGACTTGACTCTTAGCTTTGTGCGACCAAAATCTGCATTGCTTTATGCCTTTCCGAGGTGCTTACTTGCATGATCTACCTCGCACTTGACTGGTGCAGGCTTCAAAGCTGTGCCAAGCTTTCCTTTCTGACAAGCACTCAAAAAGGACTTGACAAGCACTTGCACCAGCACGAGTTTCTTTGGCCTTTCTTAGTGTGCACAGTTTGCGCTTTCGTTTTTTGCACCTGTTTCAGTCTGTTTCGTTCACACTTTCACAGCATGCTGAAGGCCTGCATGGGTGCAAGCCATGATGGCGCACGACAGACGAGCGGGTGACTGGGGAGGTCCGATTTGGGACTTGTGTAGATAAAGTTTAGACAATGTAAAACTGAGGTATAAATTGGTATCAACTTGTCCCACTTGTCAAGTGCTCAAACCCAAAAGCTGTCAAATCTGGGCAATCTGTTGATATCTGCTGATATCTGTTGATATGTGTTGATCATTGGTTCATGGAGCCAAATTGGTTTCCAGCCCTGGCCTTTTCTCCTCTCCTTCAGGTCAAGATTTGGGTCTTGCTCACACGCTCTGGTCACAGATTAGCGTCAATGGCCTGGATATGGACTTGTGCTTCACTCTTGTGTGCTACAAACTCGAAGCTGTGAACTGAGCTTTTGAATGCCGAAGGTTGCGCCTGTCACCGTGCTGATGGTATCCTACATGCTTGCCAGGCCCCCCTTCAGGTTTGTGAGGTTTGAAAACAAGCACTTGGATTTGATGTGGTTGGACCGGGTTGGATCGGGTTGGACCGTTGGATTTTCTTCGCCGCCAATTTTAAAAATGGTCTGCGTTTTGCATGCGCGTTTTGCATTTCAGGAATGGGCCTGTCCCATACACGAGGCCTTGGGTGGTGACATGGCTTGAAGGCGTTCAACACCGTTCAACACCCTTCAACACCGTTCAACGTCAGCTGTTTCAGCCATCTGTGACAGAAATTCCTTGCCTGGTCATGGGTGACTGCTGTTCACTGCTGTTCCCATCTTTTGGGCAGATATTTCCTCCTGCCATTTTCAAAGCACGCTTTGAATCTGCTTTTCTGAGGAGAGTTGTTTTGACAATTGCGTTTGGGAGCTTCCAGCCAACGCGCCTTCACTTGCTGAGTTTGTTGCTCCTTGTCTCCAAATTACTCAAAAGCACACATGCCACATTTCAGGATGTCACGTTTTGAGGGTAAAACTCAAAACTTTGTCTACATTTGTGAGTAAACAAAGGTCACTCCTGGTTAGGACTCAACCACCTTTCAATGCGAGATGTAGCCTCACCTAGTCTCCAGGGCTCTAGGATTCATCACTTCTTGCTTAGTTTTGTTCACATGGCGATGTGGGTCATGGCGTACCTAGCCTTGTGGCCGACTGTAGTACCGACAGACGTTCAGTCTAAGTGACACTCCAGTTGTATTCAGCACTCCCGTGGAGCTTCGATTCACACCGGGCCCATCATGGTCTGTGTTTCAAGCAATCGTGGCTTTCCTGACCTGGGGCGATACCATGCATTGGATGGTGGAAGCAACTGGATGCCACAAGCAGAACCACCACAAGGCCACAAGGCATGGTGGCCGGACATTTTGCCCTGTCTTCTGCAGACTTTCCCAAGTCATAGAAATTGCCAGGGCGTGGCCCAACAATCAACACCGAGCAAGGGATTGGCAATCGGATGCAAATGGGTCAATGCCCAGTACCAATAATCGCTAAATTGGATTGATGAACATCTCAATATAGACCATTCTGTTCATTTTTTGATGTTTGCCAGGGTACCAGGCTTTGACTCGTCTCCATTTTTCTTTGTAGCCAGCCGCTTCGTTGTAGCCTTCCAGCGATTGTGTTCGGGTCTGCTTGATGATGTCTATATAGTCAATATATGTTAATGTTAATATGATTAATATACAAGAACCGTTTGTATTGTGCATATATATTTTTCCCACATGCGCTACAAAGCCATGAAGGAAAGCCAGCCAAGGTTCATTTGACATTTTGCTTGGTTGTATCTGATGCGGCATATGGCTATGTGCATTTGCAATTGCACCGACATAGAGCGCTGTGGAAGCACATTCATTCAATCCACCACGAGTACAAGGAGACATTTGTGACAGATCCTTACTTGCATATACTGCATTTCTTTTGTCTAGATGAACAATGCACCTGTTTTACATTTATGAAAAAATATGAGTCCAAGTATCCCTACATGAAAGAACCCAACACGCACGGTAAAGTTGCACAAAAACCCAAGGAACATCCAAACCGGTCTACAAGCAACTGATGATTCAAGTATAGTACCAAGAGTGCTTAGTATGTTCAATGCATGATCAATGTATGTTTAATGTATGTTTAGTCTTGCTTCGCTTGGTATTAGCGCTTTGAATGATTCACAGTTGAGTCATCGTTGATTCGTGTGTGGTTTCAGCATGTTTCAGCTCTCAGGTCGGTCCTCACGTTCATCTGATGGAATTTTTCACCGTTTTTACTCTGGCGCTTTTCTCACCTGCCGCATGCGGAGCTCATCCGTTCACTTGCTGGGTCTCGTCGCTTAAACACGAGAGAGACATAGGGAGACTTCGTTCTGTGTCACTTTGTGAAGTGTTTGTGACGGTTCAAAACACAAACGTGCAAAGTTTTGGACGCCATCTTGCCATGACAAAATCTTGACTTTTGCGGTTGATTCAAGAGTGTCTTGTTTGTCGGCGTACGCAAGGTTTGGTACTCGTTTTATACATTGATCAGCTTAGAGGCCTTCGGCATTGCTTCCGCATTGCGCAGTCTTGGAGGTATTTTGTGTCAGCTTGGGCCACTGGGCCACTCCAATGCGCTTGGGAGTGCAGTTGTTTTTGCATACTCAAGGCAAGCTATATATATATATATATATGTATATATATGTATGATATTAAAAATACTACTGACGGTAAGGAATTAAATTTGAGTTAAATCTTTTTTCCCCACATCTTTGTGTGGGCTTCTTGTTTTTGGTTGTGCACTCCCGCCTGCCTCCTCCTTCTCCTCCCGCCGCCTCCCTCGCACCCAACTTGTTTACACACAACTTGCTCACACACAACTCACTCACACACAACTTGCTCACACACACACAACTTACTCACACACGGACAACTTGCCCACACACACACACAACTTACTCACACACACACAACTTGCTCGCACATAACTTGTTCACACACAACTTGTTCACACACACAACTTGCTAACACACAACTTGCTCACACACACACAACTTACTCACACACAGCTAGTTCACACGCAACTTACTCACACACACACAACTTGTTCACACACAACTTACTCACACACACACAACTTACTCACACACACAACTTGTCCACGCACACCTTGCTCATACACAGCTTGTTCACACACAACTTACTCACACACAACTTGTCCACACACAACTTACTCACACACACAACTTACTCTCACACAACTTGTCCACACACAACTTGTTCACACACAACTTGTTCACACACAACTTACTCACACACATGGCGACGGCATGACGACGACATGACGACGACATGCCCATGGCATGGTGACAGCATCGCGACGGCATTGCCACGACATGGCGACGACACGGCGACCACATGGCGACGGCATGCCGACGGCATTGCGACAACATGGCGACGTCGTCGTCGCCGCCGCACCGCCGCCATGTTGTCAGTAAGTCATCGCCATGTCGTCGCAATGTCGTCGCAATGTCGTCGCCATGCTGTTGCCATGCCGTTGGCGTGCCGATACATTGCTGTTGTCATTTTGTTGTCCTGCCGTCGACTCATTGCCAGTGCTTTGTTGCCTTCGTTTTGAGGGGCCGGACTAACAGAGGCTTATAGGCTGTAGCTAGAGTATGACAGTATGACTTTGTAAATATTTGTCCTTCGTGCAGCGACATGACTTTGTCCAGGCCCATACTGGGTGGCGACAAACTCCAGTCGGATGGATCATGAACTTGCTCACGATGGGAAACTTTGGAGGAAGCATGCATTCAGGCTGCATTCATCGGGCAGCTTGTGATCAAGTCTGATCAAGTCTGCTCAAGTCACCTGAAGCTTGGATTTCTGAATTGCAGATCTGCTCTCAGGCATCACCACCTTCATCATGCAGTTGTTTGGGGCAACTATGCGCCCTTTCTCTCGTGGTTGGACAAATTGATTGGCACAGAGATTTTGCTTGAAGACGAGGCTATGGAGAAGCCACAAGCCAGGGACTTCACTGCTAGTGCGTGCACTGCGCTGGTTTTGCTCAAAGTTGGGGCCGCTCTCAAGCTCTCCCCAAAGGTTGTAAAGACTCGCTCAAAAAGATGCCAATATTATCAAATAGTCAAATCCACTCAGCGCGCGTCAGAATATAGCGTCAGTCTAAAGTCAGACAAGTGTTGGATGGAAGTCCAATGTGTTTCCCGATAGCGATGAGAGACTTTATGAGTCTATGAGCGATCATAGGTCTTTGTGCGGTGAGTTACATGAGCAGCAGGCAAATATTCTATGAAGAAGTCTTGCGGGTAGCAGTGCTGCTTGAAGGATGACGCTGCGCAATTGGTGTTTGACCTGTCAAGAGGTCCGCGAGCCGGAGTTCAGTGGCAAGGCTGTGAAGCGAGATCGTCCCGAGGCAGATCAGTCGGTCTAGCTCAGACAATGCCCAGAGCATCCTCATTGTGACGGTACAGAGTGCCAAAATCCGCTTGCGTACAGGTCATTTCAATGAAGAGCGCAAAGTCTGAAGCTGCAGATTTCCTAGCTTTGTTGCTTGATGCAGCTGTGAACTCCGTTCATTTCGCACAAAGCTGAGGCCAAGGAAGTTCAGACAAACTTGAAAGGTCTGAAAGGTAAAGAACTTGCGAAAGAGATTGCCTTGGACTGCGAAGCCATCCAAGCAATTCAGGCTAAAGCGCTGCTCCGCTCACTGGATCGAAATGTTTGCTGAATATCTTATTTTAACAGTTAATCTTAACAGGTTCTGTCGCGCTCTGTTGCCCATTATTTTATCTCATTTTAATTTAGTGTCATTTTTTTGGATTTAGTGTCGACTCATTTCACTCTCTTGTCCCTTTCTGATCCTTTCTGATTCTCTCTGCACCTGGGTCGACCCCTGATTTGTCCAGGCAAAGGGGCTACGCCGTCGAGCAGCAACTCCCCCGCCTAAGCTATGACTGAGCCACACATGCTGCGTTATGCACGTCCCGCCACGTCGGCTCAGTGCCACGTAGCCAGACATAGCCATATGGCTAACCATATGATGCCATTTGGGCCATATGGCGATCATATGTGCAATTTACTCGAGCCCGACAGAAGCTTTGGGCAAAATGTGCTTCGCAGTGCATCGCACTTGTGAGGGTTGGTCTTGGGAAGCCGTTGCCGTCACAAGTAGCATGGAACAATTTCAGCCTCCGCTGTAGACCAAGGCACTGGGGGCGATTCCCAGAACATGTTGCCGATTGCCGGCTTGCCTCTCAGTTTGCACCCTTTGGTTTTGTGCTTGGCAAAATTGAACTCAGTGATCTGAACTTAAAGTTGAACTGTCAGGAGTAGCGCTTACAACAAAGGCCAGCTCAAAATTCTTCAAGGCCAGAAATGCAAACATCAACACCTGTTGTGAGAAGTTCGTATCTTCGTGTTTATCGCCTGCATATGGGAGTGAGCATTGAAACACACTGAAACCGCAAAGCAGTTGGGAAACTTGGACTTGGTTGGACAGGATTGACAGAAGTTTAAACAGGAAACGCTGACACTGTGACACTGTTTAAACATGGTGGTTTATCTTGGTACATCTCGTCGGCTCAGGCAATTGTCTTGAACATTTGCTGAATAGCTTCAAGTTCGATCACATTCCATGGACAGACAGACAGACAGACAGATAGACAGACAGACAGATAGACAGACAGACAGAGAGACAGACACACACACACACTTGAAAGACAGACACTGGGTCACACACACACACAGCCCAGCCACATTGCTTAATGTCACCCTGTTTGCCATTTCTAATAATCCAGAATGATCAAGGCAGCTTGCTTCAAGTCTTTGGAGCTGCAGAATCTCCACGAGATGACACAACATTTGAACACATGGATTACAGCAAGCCGCATGTAGAACACGGAGAAATATGGACGACCTGTAGACTCAAGTCTTGGACAGCTTTTTATGCTCTTTGAGAATCTGGAGACTCAAGTCTTAGCCCAAATCCCATGCATGACCTTTCTGAAGTTGCAGCGTGCTGGTCTTAAGACATCTTAAGCCACTTACGTGTTTGTCTCAAGCTGCTTGATGAGAACCTCATGGAAGTGGGATGACTGAAACATTCCAGGAGAGCGCAGGAAGGACCAAATGAAGCTTTGAAATGCCTCCAGATTCCTTTCAACGCCTTCAACATCCTTCAACTGTATTCAATACATTCAATTCTGAGGTGATGCTACCTTCCTCCCATTGGGAGGAACCAGCGGGATCATCCAGGTGATCTTAGCAAATAGCATGGACGACACAGCTTGCAGATGTTATGCTTATTTTCATGCGACTTGGGCTACTTGGATGTTTGCATATGTTGCCAGGGCTGGAGAAGGGGGTGACCTTTCCAACAGACTGGCAGAACTGCGAAATCAGCTGCAGAACTCTGCTCTATATCGTCCCAGCAAACGTGTGGAGCTTAGAGAGGTCAAAGTCACAGCCAAAACACGGATGCGTCACTAGGCAAGATATGACGGAGATATGACGAAGATATGACGGGATTCGATGGAAAAGTTTGACACGAGATGTAAGACATTGTAAGACACTAGAGTCACTAGATGCGAAGCCGTCAGGGCAGTCTCGAGATGAGCGCCATGAGCGGCGTGAGCGCCATGAACGCGAGCGGCGGAGACCAGACCGGCACCATTCGTTCGATGCGTTCGGAGACCGACACCGCAGAGAGTTTGGTCGTGGTCTTGTCCTCAGCAAATATCAAGCTAGAGCCGTTGGCAGATCTTTGCAGTGTTGTATGACATTGTATGAGCTGTCGTGTTAGCTTTATCATTTGTTTGTCGTGTTTGCGTTTGTTGTTTCATTTTATTTTATTTTATTTCATTTTATCATGCTTTATCCATCTTTATCCCTTCGCAGTTTTGCAAGACCACTTTCATCAGCTTCACTTGGTCTGGCGGGGTGCAAATTGAGGCCACAGCGCAGGGGGGGTCCAGCACTCAGGCGTCAGATGCTTCAGGGCCTCAGGAAATCTTTGACCACTGAAGACCCAGGTTCCTCCCCGGGCTCATGGTCGCAGACACCGGTGACGTGCTCAAGAGTTCGCACAGACAATCCGAAACATCAACTAGACAGGTGCAAATATTACACATTATCCGAAATTATAAACAATATATATATACACTTCTGCTGACATTAGACATCTGAGCCGTGGGCTGTTCGCAAGTCTTATGCTTTCAGCACAAGATGTGAAAGGTCACGGAGGTCAGAGTCAGAATGGCATAGGGAGGCAAGCGCTGTTTTTGATTTTGAGCACTGACGTTGTTTTTTGTCGTATGCCAGTTTGCACTCATATGTTTTTATTCCCACGTGCAGAACCATGTGCAAAAGGCTGCAATACTTGTTTGCATCAGTTCAATTCCTAGGTCATCTGTTGCTTACATCAACCTCTGCATGTAGCATTGATGTTGCAGCGGCACATTTCCCGGGTGATGTAATCCACAGTCTCCTAACTCCTGCATCCACTTTGAGCCTATGTCTGATTCATGCTAAGTATGAACTTGGTATATTATGTATATTTATATGGAATTGTATACACATCAGCACATCTATATTCATATATTCATATATATTCATTTATATTCATATATGTTCATATATATTCAAATATATTCACATATATTCATATATATATTCATATATATTCATATATATTCATATATGTTCATATATATTCATATATATTCATATATATGAATATATATGAATATATATTCATATATATTCATATATATTCATTTATATTTTAATATTCATATATATTCATAAATATTCAAATATATTCATATATATTCATATCTATATATATTTAATTCATATATATTCATATACATTCATATATATATTCATATATATTCATATATATTCATATATATTCATATATATTCATATATATTCATATATATATTCATATATATATATTCATATATATTCATATATATTCATATATATATATTCATATATATATTCATATGTATTCATATATATTCAACTATATTCATACATATATATATACATTCACATATATTCATATATATATATATGTACATTCATATATATATATATATTCATATATATTCATAAATATTCAAATATATTCATATATATTCACATATATTCATATCTATATATATTTAGTTCATATATATTCATATACATTCATATATATATATTCATATATATTCATATATATATTCATATATATTCATATATATTCATATATATTCATATATATATTCATATATATTCATATATATATACATTCATATATATTCATATATATTCATATATATTCATATATATTCATATATATTCAGATATATTCATATGTATTCATATATATTCAACTATATTCATATATATATATATACATTCATATATATTCATATATATATATATACATTCATATATATTTATATATTCATATATATATATACATTCAAATATATTCATATATATTCACATATATATTCATATATATATATATTCATATATATATTCATATATATATATATGTGAGTGAGGTCAACTATCTATATACATGTCCACAAGTCCATGCGCTCAAAGTCTAAAATCTAGTAGTTGTACCATTTTGCATCCATACTGTCTCCAGATACCATACCATTTGTCATGTCGTATAAGGCTGTTCCGATAATACCACTCTCTTGCGAAAATAAGCACTTAGCTCGACGATAAGCCGCCAGAAAGCATGCGTATCCAAGGCTATGCTGTTTGAGAACTGTGCTCCGTGTAAAGAGACAGAAACGGTCTGCGAACTCTACAGAAGCTCTCCCAACAATTCTTAGTGCAGGTATGTTCTGGCACATGCTCGGAGCACTCCATGCTGTCACCGGTCAGAGACAATAGTTTCTTTCGAATGGAATTTTTGTGGTACTGTATTGAGAGCGGATTTTATCAGCAAGTCTGCTTTGTGAAGGATTTGTTCAGTAACAGTAAACGTGTTTTTCATGAGCCTCGGAGCCTCGTGTTTCCACGCAAGCATAGGCGTGCAAGACTTGGACGGAGCCATCCTCGTATCCTTCCTATCTTTCCTTGTGCCGATAGCCTTTGCATGTCATATCCAACCACAAACACCTTCAATCCCGATTCAATCCCGATTCAATCCCGATTCAATCCCGTCAAATCTTTCCCCTTACGTGCAGAGTCACTCGATATCTAGTGCTTACAGCATTGATGTTCTGCGTCAGGGAAGGCATTCTAGACGAAGAAAGCCGGCCTTTACCTTGTGCTGATCCTAAACAGTTGCACTTCCGAGGTGACATTGAATGACTTTTGCAGTGAGCACCACAAGAAATGCTGGTCACTCTTGCAAGTGACATCTGCCTGGTTGCGCAGTGAGGCCCCCTGCTTTTCGCTGAGGCAAGAGATTTCGGACATGGCGAGGGCTGGGGAGACTGGCTCCAGCCGCTCCAGCCGCAGGGACGCATGGCGAGAGACCAAGACAGAAAAAGTTCTGAAAGATGCAACGTTGATAGAATAGATTCAATAGATGCATGACCAGTAGAAGGTACTAACATGTACTAACTAACCTAGAATCCCAGTAGAATCTCAGTAGAATCTCAGTAGAATCTCAGTAGAATCAGCGGAAGCCAATTGGTCAAGCTTAGCACCAAGGCGATGGGAATCCTCTTGGCAGAACAAGGTGGATCTGAAGTTAATTGACAGTTAGTTGCATCAGTCGGTCCAGAAAGAAAGGTCCCTTAATAAATGCGAACTAGGCAAGGCTTACCCAACAGATATATTGTGCTACTAACATCTACTAACTACTTCTGGTTGAAATTACTTCGATACATTTGTACATTGTTTTATACAGACCAAGTACTTGTAGCTGCTCATACCAGGACAACAACTTGCCTGCACTAGAGCGCCGTGCAGGATTCTAAGTGTTGCCTGCAAGCGACATTGGTAGTGAAAGAACCTATGCAGCACCGTGCGGCTTATGCAATTAGCTGCTCTGAATCATTTGCGCTTGTCCGAGGCTCGCTGGAGCCGGTCGCAAAGGCATCTTCCGTCAAGTTTGACCCTCAGACTTTGCTTTTATTGGTGAATATCTGCAATGCCACCCTCAAAAACAAACTTCAAGGAAGCCGCAGTCAACGACGCTACCAGAAGCAGGCTGAACAACTTTTGTAGCATTGTAGTAGACAATGGACATTGAATCGATGGAACACCAAAGAGCACTATGACCTCACGAGCCTTGCTGTTGATGTTCTCTTGCAGGATGATGAGGAAACGGAGGCCTACCTACTTCCTGGGCTGTCCAGCTACAAGGGTCAGTTGACGCTGAAAAAGATAGTTAAGGAAGGAAGTTAATTAAGGCAGGTAGCTTGTTCATTCCTTTTCATGCTTCTACTTTCCAGTATTTGCATGAGCAAACCTCACAGCCAGTGTGACCAGTTTCAATCACATCACTTGGCTTTCACGTGCTTCTTGAGTTTGTTGGAAGGTATGTAGTACATCACAAATAGTTGCAATTCTGACTGCCTGACTGACCCTCAGACATTTGTCTCGAAGTTTTGTGAGCCATGTGACTTTGCTTTTGTTGGCAATGGTGAGATTTCGCGATGCTTTTAAAACTTTCATGCTGATGTGGGCACAATTTGCAATTGGACAAAGTGCCTCACTGGAACGTCGGCTGAAGGCGGCCAAGGAACGAGGTCTCTCAGGATATGACTTGATAGATGCAATGGATGTTTGGTACGGTTCCAACTCTCCCGACTTCAAAGGACCCTATAACCAGCTGGATTTCATTGGCAATAGAGACGGAAGAGTAACTTTGGATGACTGGCAGGCTGCTGGACTGCCAACAGACCACTTCCACTATTTTGACACGAACGGAGATGGCTTCATGTCTGTAGACGAAGCCCACTCGTGGCATCAACAAAGGAAGCCTGCGCGGACAATGAATCTGTCGGAGGTTGAGAATCCACCTGTTGGGCATTTGAAGCCAATGGGATCTTGGAAGGCCCCTCTTTCTTCAGAGGGTCTTGAGTACAGAAAGCCTTATCCACATCCCAGGGAATTCTGGCGCAAACATATGGATGGCTACCTGCCGGCAAACCTCAAAGGGGCTCAGCATGGTTGGCCCTCCATGAATTGGACCAGAGAAGAGTTGGTGAAGCGATTTGGCTGGGTCGATGCCAAGCTGGAACCCAAGGATCGGGGACAGGAGAGTCAACACTTCAACAATACCCCCCATACAGACAAAAGTAGTCCCCTGCATATTCCGTAGTTCAACGAGAATAAAGAGATAAGACAGGCCAGATAGGCTTTGGGCATCTTTGAGGCTTGAAAGAGTTTGCATTTCAAAAAGAACTCGGTCAATTCCTCACAGAAATTGACTCTCAATAATTATTTCTTGTTCTTCCTAGCTCCATCTTTCAAAGGGTAAGGCCCTCGCTTTAGAATGTGCAGAAAACCATCGCTTTAGAACGCGGAAGATGATCCTTAGTCAGCTAGATGATCTACATCAACTTCATCTACACTGCATACAGAACTGCATCTCGCACATCTCTTCCATATCCTTTACTGTACATCATCTACATCATCAATATCATATCTACACCACATACATCCTCTACATCATGTATATCAACTTCATATGCATCACATGCATCATCAACATCAGCCACAACAACTTTATCAACATCATCAACATCAACCCAAGGCAAGAGACTGGTAAGAGGCAGTACAGTTGAAAACATGATGTAAGGAAACAATCCCTAATTTTTTTTTGGTAGACACATCGCTTCAGAACGCGCAACCTCCCAAAGTGCTGCGCCTGTCAGTAGCCATGGTGCCCTGTTTTTGGGTGTTCTAAAGTGATGGGTGACATGGTGTTCTGAAGTGATCCTTTACCACCCCAAGACTTGGCTGTCGGCAGGTTGAAGGGCGGGGAAATGACACTGCATATGCCGACTTGGATTCGATTGCACCGTCTCACCGTCTCAACGTCTCAGAATATTTGCGCCTTGAGGAGAAGGGTCACTTGAATTGTTACTTGAATTTACCTGCATAATTTGAAGTTCATGCCCCCAATCGTCAAAACCTCAATCTTATTGATGTTTTCTCCGTGAGGAAGGCAAGAATATGTATGTTGTCTCCATCATTCCTCAGCAGATGGCCTGGGAAGTTGCTCATCCGGCAGTTCTACTCTGTGGCTCCAGAAGGAATCAATTGAACAGAGACACGAAGCCTCCGTACAAAAAAAAGACACATGAATATCCACATGAAGCTGGCTTTGATTGGATGACCCATGTTTTCGAGGCCAATTTGTGGATTGCGACCGGATACACGCGGTCTCAGTTTCACTATGACAAGGAGTGGAATGTCAATTGTTTGCTCTCTGGAACCAAACGATGGATCTTTTTGGACCCGTTGCTTGGCTTGGGCACAAGTCCCATTTCGGGACACTCACACCTACTTCTAAGTCTTAGAGGTTTGCTGTAAGGACGAGTGCAGCAATTCACATTGACCAGGTGTTGAACCGTGATGCTATTTGTATCTATTTGTTCTTGTTCCTCTATTTAGATTATTTTAGATTGCGGTTGATAACTTTGATAACGGTTTGAATGCAATACTGGCAATACTTCTGTTGCATGAAGCTTTCGGGCTTTCGGGGCAGCTGGCAAATCTCTCCCAGGTTCAAATATGATTCCGATTTGCAGTGGTCAAGAGGACGAAAGTTCCGGCCGCGTGATCCCTTGAACAATGCCTGGACAGACTGGGTATATCTGGATCCCGACAGGGTTGACCTCATTGTGCAGCATAAACTCAGAAATATGGATTATTACGAACTGATCCAGGAGGCTGGTGATTGCATTTTCATCCCATATGCTATGTTGCATCAAGTGCAAAAGTTGGATGATGGCATGCAAGTAGCGGCATCCTGGATGTTCTTGCCGGAATCCATCTACGAAGAGGAGGTTTGCAAAGAGGCTCCACTGCAAGAGGACTTGCCTCTAGCTGCAATGGATACTTTATTTATGTACAGTGGGAGGGGCCTGATCCCTCAGGGCTACCAAGATCCTCTGAACTTTGTGAACAAACTCACGAGATACATGGCTCAGTCCAAGGAGGAATATCTTAGCTTAGAGACATTTACAAAAGCAGTGACCGAAGGTGATGCCATTCTCAGAAGCATCCGCAACAGCAAGAAGAAAATCAAGAATCTCTACAAGCGCATTTCTGCGTACCAGAGCAAGCAAAAAGCTGTTTTGAACTCTGTTTCCTTTAGATTTCCTTGTGTGTTGGCAGTGTAAAGCCTGGGTCGCCAGATTTTTCTTCTTGAGTTTTCTGAGGTTCGGTACTGAGAGAAGTGAAGCAGGTCAAGTCTGGCTATCTCGGAAGGAGCTGCGAAGAGTACCTCTGCGACTCTGGGCAAAAGCAGCTGCTGAGGGAGATGACGAAGGGCCCTTGTTCCTCAGCTCACAGGGATTCGGGTAACAGGAGGGTAATAGGAGAGAAATTGCAGAGAACGCTGGGACAGGGCCTTGGAGGAAATTTGTAGTCGCTATGCATCACCTTAGTGACAGGGTGTAAAAGATGCGCCCCGAGCCGCTAATTTGAAAGGCAAATATACAAATGTTGTCTCAACAACGGTGTGTACTGCTCACATGATACCTTTGGCATCTTTTGGCTCTTTCTGACTGGGAAGTTGCAAAAGATGATATTCCTCAGAGAAAACGATCAGTTGTGGAACTTGTCGAGGACCCTGGAACGAAGTTCCCATTGTGGATATGAGTAGCGGCTGGATTCTTGCGTTACGTGTAGAGAGTTGCCTGCGCTGTTCAGGGTGTTGCTGAACCTAAAGGCTGCTTGCTGCAGGGGGGGTGCTTCATGCTGCTTCACACTGCTTCACCTTGCTTCACGCTGGCTTTGTGGTAAGATTGTGGTCCGGCTGTGGTCTGATTGTAGTTGGGTTGTGGTCAAGTTGTTACACCACTTGAATCAACTTGTTTGAGTCGAATTCTTACAGAGATCGTCGTGGTGGTACTGCTGTTGTCGTTGTCATTGTCGCTGTTGTGATGGTTGTAGTGTTTTTGCTCTTTTCGTAGCAGCTGCTCCTTTGGAACTGTCAAGCATTAGATACAAACATAAGTTACAAAGATTGAGGGAAACAAGTTCCGGAAATGCATACACACACAGAAAGAATCAGAAATATATAGGATTTTCTATTGATTGTTGTATGTATATATATATGTGATATATTCTATTGTTATGTACATAATATGTATGATAATATGTATGATGTATGTTGTATATGTATACGTATGTGTATAGCCTAGCAAAAAACATGTGTGAAAACATGAGCACAACGCAGCTGTTCATCGCATTTGTGGTCATCGCGAGGCCTTGCGACCGTGGCCTGAATCTTAGTTGGCCTTTTGGAAGAGCGACGGCACGCATGCAAAGCACGCAAACCGCCTAGCAGATCTAAGTTTTCATACTTTTAATGTTCATTGATTTTATTGCTCTGATATGCCAAGGACAAGAGTATCAGGATTGTAGTGACGAAGAGTTCAAAAAGATGACTGACTTCGTTCGGGCTCGCTTGGAAACTGCAAAACATGAGGAACAACCTACGTCTGCAGAGCTGGTTCTGAACCGTCGGTCCTACCTCACACCGAAGAGAAAAAGGAAAGAGGAATTGTGACGGCCAGCTTGAATGGCCTCTTTAGATGTGTTCAAAAACATTTCCTGCACCCCTTGAAAGATTCAAGGTGCAGCATGGTGCAGCTGTTATTGAAAGACGACAGGGAGAAAAAGCGAAAGGGCGAAAGGGCGAAAGGGGTCACATCTTGGAGCTCACTGGTTTTGAATTCTCTTTTGGAATTCTCCTGCCATTACGTCATTACGTGTGAATTGAAAACAACACTCCGCACTCCCAGGGATCCCCAGACTATGGCTGAGATTTCTTCGCGCTGATTCTACTCTAGAATGTCAGTATTGAATCCTACGGTTTTCGTTTGTGGCCTGACAGGTTTATATAACTGTGTTAAACTTCGCTATGAGACTCTAGACTCAAGACTCTAGATCTCGATGAGACTTGTCAGTTGTATGTGAACACATGTTAACAGCCCAACGATTGCCAAATCTTGAGACATGCTCAGAATCCTTCACTGCCTCAATCACCATGCATAGTCTCCAAGCGTCTCCAAGCCTGCCTGCTCTCCTCAAGCAGCTGCAGGATGATAGGAGAGGATATGGCTACGGCTATGGAAGGGGCCAGGCAGCTGGGTCTGAGATGGTCTCAGTACAGTTGCAGTACAGTTGGCATGCATTTCGAACTCATTCCTGTGATGCGCGTCAGTTCAAGCCCTGATTGGACCGAACTCTCTCAATGAAAACATTACTTCGATTTATATACTGTATTTTGATATATTTTGCCTTGATAGTGCCTTCTGATCAGGAGCCAGCAGAAGCTCAAGCACCTGAGTCTCAAGTTGAGGGCAATCAAGAGCAAGATCAGCTTGATGAACAGCTTGATGAACAGCTTGATGAACAACTTGATGAAGAATTGGAAGAGCTTGATGACTTCTTGGAGGAAGAGCTGGAAGAGGAGGAGTTGGAGCTTGATGAGTTGGAAGACGAATTGGCAGAAGACTTGTCTGATGGTGGACAGCACAAGGAAGAGCGGAGGCTTCTGCAGGAACGATTGAAACAGGCGCAGCAAGAACTGGAGAATTTCAGGCAAGAGCAGGGTGAGGAGGCCAGGCCCACAGCTGAAAGCGAATTTCTGTCAAGATGTTTGTCGAGATGTTAAAAGAACTTAAAAGACGCTAAAAGCATGTTCATTGTCGGATTGCCGCTCTTTCCTTCAATCCTTGGTATTCTCTAAGACTACATTCTCACATATAGTGTATCATATACTTTGTCTGCGAACCTCCTGAATCTTGGTTGTCGTTGTTTCTACTTGAATGTGAAGGAAAACCGAGGTGCCGGACACTCCTGTGCTGCCTGCTTTCCCCTACCTTCGCTGCTTCTAAAACTGAAACGGTTAAAATCTGAAGCTGGTGTTGACAGGTTCTTGGATCAGGACGATCTATGTCTCCAAGAACACCTGCCGTTGCCTTGGCTGAGTTGTAGACAAGCTGTTTGATTGCTTTTGGCTGCTGTCATGTCAACTCATGTCAACCTCAGAATTCTCCGCGTTGTCCTTCTTCTCTTTGCTTCGCAGATGGAAGAAATCCCGGACTTCAGCGTGGATGAAGATGACGAGGCATCAGAAGCAAACAGCCTTTCTTTGCCAAATTCAAATTGAATAAATTGCACACATTGCATTAAATTGCATCGTTGTCAGCGTGTCATACCGTATGGTAATACCACGTCCTTTGAAATCCAAAGACTTTTCAGCAAGGTAGATGCAGATGGCGAAGATGCTGAGGATGGAGAAGGCGCGAAAGCGAAAAAGTAACCTTTCGGGTCAAAAAGATCGACAATTAAACAACGGTCAAAACTGATAAAACAATGCACAAACAATGCACAATCAACGGACAAACCAGGATGCAACAGGCATGATTAAGAGTATGACAGGTGGGCCTGTTGACGAAGTCGGCGATGAAGTTGTGCAAATCTCGGTGCCAGAAAAGGGATGCAGAATTTTGGATCGAACAAATCACAAGACCTTCAGGACCCCTGGCGTTGGGAATTGTTACGTCGAGGCCCATGTGGATCCCTACGAGCTTGCTGATTCCGATGATGGAGAATTATTCGCCGTCAGAATCCTAGTGGTTTTCAGTACTACATGATTTATGCATGATTTATAAGTGGATTAGGACCGATGCTTTCGCTGAGGCCTTAGAAAAAGCTGCCCAGGAATCAGGCCTTCAAAGAGACTCACGACGTTTGGAACAGACATGACAGACATGTCTAAAATGTGTTCTTTGAATTTCTTTGATGACGTAATCCATCACTTGGTGAAAGATCCCTTCACGGATTCCTTGATATTTGTTGAAGCCTTTGTTGAAGTCCCTCGAGGCGATGCTCAAGAAAGTCTGGAAGTCGAAGCCGCGGGCTCGCAAGAGTCTCCCGAGGCAGTTGAGGCTTGAACTCTGTTTGACGTTTTTGACTTTTCATGATGCTTTGATGCTTTGTTTAATTTTTGTTTTCAGCCAGAGATAGAGATATGATATCAGTATCAGGATCAGTGTAGCCACTTGCTGAGTATGTGACAGTATGTGTTCTATGCAAAGCCCTTGCTCTCAGTTTTTCCGTCAGTTTGAGCTGCCTCGGTGCTTTCAGGCAGAACCCACCCCAGAGCGAGCCACTCCAGACCTAGGCAAGGGGAAGGGAAGTGCAAAAGTCCAGAAAGACCGGGGAATCCGGGGAACGTTGGGAAGATTCTCTCGTGGATAAACATGGATAAACATGGATAAACAATGTCAACCATGAGGCACGAGAGCACGTAGGCAAGAAGCCAGTGGACTCAGTGGACTCAGTGAACCAGAATCTGAAGAGAAGTAGAATGCTTGCCATGAACGCTGACCATGCTGACCATGCTGCTCAAGTCAATGACAGGGTCCAGGAGAGTTTCAACACCAAGCCAAGCATTCAGAAATCCTTGACCGATGCAAAAGATATCAAAAGATGTCAAAAGGATGCCTTCATATGCCTTCCTTGAATGTGAATGTCCCCGTTGAAGGAAAATTGGATAAACTGACTATGCAGCCAGCCTGAATTTTGGCGCCAGGAACAAACAGATTTGCATGCATCTTTTTGTCTCAGAACCAAGGGTCATACCATTGGATCCCGACTCGAACAAACAGCTTAATTGTTTTCCCTCCAACGGCATGTAGGCAAAAGGACACAATGTGACACAATGACATTTCCGAAACATTGCAATCACATCAATCACACACGCTTTGCGACAAGTTCATCTACTATGGATCAGGATGAAGCTGAAGCAGAGTTGCGACAGCGACGCTTTGAGGCCTATTTCAGAGGGGAGATCCTGGAGAAAGAGACGGAAGTTGGTGAAGTTGGTGAAGTTGGTGAGAAAGAAACGGCAGAGGCCGCAGAAAAGGACAAAAAGTCCGTTTTTGCCGAAGGAGAGCTGCAGGATTGGTCATGTCAAAGAGCTGTGACATGGATTTTAGGCGCCAAGAACTTCTTTGAACTTCTGGGTATCTCTCCCGAACAGTTCCCTGACATGATGTCAATACGAAATCGATACAGGAAATTGTCATTGCTTGTGCATCCTGATAAGCACAAGCACTCTGCGACGGACGTGACAGAAATGCAAGCGACAAACTCTTTCCAACGACTGTCAGATGCAATGCAAGTAATGTTTGATGATGTGGCCAGGGGGCAGTTATTTCGAGAAATCCAGCTGGAAGCAGAGGAAAAGATAGAGCTTCAGCCAAGACAAAGTTGTTGGCAACCTCCTGAGACTGATCAAGACTCGCAATCAGAGGATTCCGATACTCTAAATGGAGCGGTCAGAGACAGAGTCATGCAGCAGTCCAAGCTTCAGCACCTGCTCAAGAGACGAAGGGTTGCAAAGGCGCCCAAGGCGCCCAAGTCGGTCAAGTCACCAAAGGCAGGTAGAAAGGCTGGAAGCGCTGGAAGCTGTGAGCAAAGCTGTGAGCAAAGCTGTGGGCAGAGTGTGCCAAAGGCAGCAGACTCAACAGACTCAACGGTCTGGCAACCAGCAACAGCAACTCCAGCGGCTCCAGCGGCTACAGCGGCTTCAGCTATCACCTTGGAGCAACTCACAGAGTTGTGGCAACAAGGTACAGAGGCTCTGGCGATGGCAGGATGGAAACGACTCGAAAGTCGGCGCTGCCCAGGGCATTTCTACTTCGCACATGTTGCCACTGGTCAAACTGTCATGGACATTTGGGAGAGGCGACAGAGTAGACATGATCCGTCAGTTTTCTACTTTGTCAATTCGAGAACTGCAGAGACCAGTCTAGAGACGCCACCAGAAAAGCTGTGCCTTTGCAACCTCCAAATCAGCACTCATGATCATGGGAGAGGAGAAGGGCTGAGACTAACTTTGCACAGTAAAGAATTTGGAAAGAAGCGCGCTAGTTGCGTTGTCACTTTGTGTTAGGTGTAAGCAAACATCAAACTTGTACTTTTGCACAAGAGAAGAGCCAGAGCTGTTCCAAAGTCTCTAAAGAACCTGCATCTATGAACCTCAGCGGCAACTGCCAGGCCTTTTGCGTGAAAAGTTGGCGGAGGCCAGTCGTAGGTCATCAATCCTTTCTTATGCATCTACTTAAATTTAGTCAGCATAGGCAGCTCCATTAATGCTGTGCAACAGAGCATACCCGCTATGTGTCCTCGTTCCTACCTCAGATTCATATTAAGAATCTGAAAATTGATATAATCTCTTTCCAACACTTGCTGCTTCAACTGGTTCATTTGTGCGAACTCCTCCGGTTTGATGCAGTTGTCAGAACGCTTTGACTTGTCTTCATGCAATGTTTAAAGGGAGGTTTTCAAGGGGACACCGGGCATTGCAGTGAAATGCAGTGAAGGTCAAGCCAAAGATCCTTGCAGCTTTAACTCCGAAGACAGACTCGCACCCGAAGCCTGAAGTGCCACAGCCGAAGGACAGAACAGTGGGAGAAGTCAGAGAAGTTTAGCAGATTCAATATGATTCAACTACATAAACAGATAACATATTATTGTGACATGGATTCCCCCACGGTGAGGTTTGGAGCTTGCAAACCTTCAAACATTTCAAGCATTTTCAAGCTTATTAATCACAATGTCCTTGATGTTGCTTGACATTGCTTGAAGGCCTCAATGGCACCATCTTCTGTATCCAGTGCAGCGCCGCGGTCGTTGCCGGTGCGAAACTTATACCAGAAGGGCAGAGAGATAAAGACTGATACAAAGGTTACAAAGGTTACAAATACCAATCAAGACTTGGACATCCCTGCAGTTTCACCAAGGATGAAACCGATGAACCCTAGAACTGAAGCTACCTTTTTTTGCCGCAAATTTTCACTCTTGAGTGCTTGCACACCACATTGTTGTTTGGGTCCATTCCATGGCAAGAGGTTTCATGCCAAGAGAGGCTTGCACCAAATGTTTCTCTTAATTCCAGGTCCGTGGGTATCTTCCCCGATAGTTTTTAAAAAGTCATTTGGTGGAAGATAGGTTTTAGTAGCTGGACAATTGTATTCGAGGGGGTGCGCCATGACATCTTGGCAGGAACTAGCACACAGTTTGGCCATGGAATGCATTGCAGTTTTCAATTATATATTCTTTGATCAGAAAAAAAGAATTTGGCAGTGAAGCTTCAGAGCATTTTCAGCAAAATCTTAGAATAGAAGAAGCTGGAAATTTGGCAATGACACTTCAGAGCATTTCGAAAAAAGAAAACATATGTGATCAGGAAGAAACAACAACTTTGGCATTGAAACTTCCGACTGTTTTGAAGAGAACCTTTGAGCAGAAGAAGACGAGAATTCAGCAACAAGCCATCAGATCGTTTTCAGAGAGACATTTTTGAGCAGCAAGAGCAGAGAAGCTGATGATAAAACCTTCAGACCATTTTCAGAAAGATTGTTTGAGCAGCAAGGGCAGAGAAGCTGACACTAAAACATCAGCCACTTTTCAGACAATTGTTGGTGAATAAAAAGACAACCATTTTCAAAGACAAACATTTTTTTTGCAAGAAGCAATACTGTAGTGGTGCATTGAAAATTGAGACCGTGATGGACAAATCTTTCCTCAGAAGAAACCAGAAAGTTGATCATGAAACTTCGAACCATTTTCGGAAAAGCCTTTGACCAATTTGGCAACAAAGAACAACTTGACCCCGTTCCCAGAGAAGCTTCCGATCAAGAAGCGAACAGAATCGGGAAACAAAACTTCTGCCGGTTCAAAACTGTTGATCAGACAAAAAAGCAATTTCTATCGTTAGATTAAGTGAAACTTCAGATCGTTTTCAGAGAGACATCTTTGATCTGAACAACACAAGAGAGACATCTTTGAACAGAAAAGATGAACACTGGCAGTGAGACTTCAGACCGTTTTGAGAAACTGCACTTTAACAAGACAGAGCAGACACGTGAATGCATTATGCACCAGTTTCAGAGATATTTTTGATCAGACACAGACATTTTTGATCGACAAAACACATACACACACAAAATGAAAAGTTCAGACAGTTTTAAGAAACATATTTCTTCTCAAAGCGCAGAAAAGTTGGCAAGGAAGCCGGGACCATTTTCAGAGAGATATTACAGTATGCAAGAAAAAAGGAACAATTTGGCAAAGACGCGTCCAACATCGTCAAACCACTTTGACAGAAATCCTTGATCAGAAAAAGATAAGAATTTGGCAATGAAACTTCAGTCCGTTTTCAGACAGACATCTTTGACCAGAAAATGGACGTTGGGTAGCACAACTTCACACTGTTTGGGGAAAATCATTTGATTAGACAAAAAGACGGAAAACATGATGACGCTTCGGGCTTTTCCACGAGAATCTTTGACATGAAATTACATGAATTTGGTACTGTTTTTTTTTGACGGATTTCAGACATATCCCTACTGTAATACCTTTTGTGAGAGGTTTTGGGAGCATGTTCTGTTGCAACCTTAGACCAGTTATATATATATATATATAATCCCCCTTACCATTTCCACTACTAAAAGGGTGAACACGTGCTTGGTACCATCCTCTGATTCGTGGATAATTCAAGCAAAAAAAATGGACCCGTGCACCAGTTTTTGTAGTAAAAGGGTGTGCACTGTATCTTGTAGCGGAGTTCCATTTTACACTCATAAATCGGAAACGCATTTTGTAGTGATCTATTTTGGGATGCGTTGTGTCGTACCGGAAGCCCTATAGCCCTCTTTTACCAGTCATGCTTGGTCACATGAACATATAGCTTGGACCCTCAGACCATTGTGGCTCTTGACTCACGATTATTTCGTGGTAAGATGAGCCCCCAAAAAATCGAAAAAAAACAAATAATGTAGAGACTTTAAGACGGAAAAATGGGACAGACTTGGTTTCAAAACCCATCAATTGAATTTGAAGTTGTGCGCTCAGATCAATTTTGCTGCCCCATAGCTCTGACGATTGCAGTTCAAAACCCCTTGCGCCGTGCTTTTGTCACACCTTTTTTGGCCATCACATGCGATTATTAATTAAAATCTAAATCTATCCCATTCTACTAGGTTCCTGCTCTTTTTGTCCAATAGTCAAGTTTCACCCCAGTTCAACGAATCCATGCTCAGAGTTCCTTCCACCCACAATGTCACAAAGCACAGATTCGATGCGTGATGTCCTAGTTTCTGGATGCCTTGTGTCATGCACTGCATTTTGTAGTGACACACGCGTGCACAACCTTTTGTAGAACCTACTGCGCCCCCCTCCAGATAAGCCCCAAAAAGATCGAAAAGCATGCTTTTTATGTAGAGACTTTAAGAAGGAAAAATGGGACCGATTTGGTTTCAAAACCAATCAATTGAAACTGAAGTTGTGCGCTCAGATCGTTTTTGCTGCCCCATAGCTCTGACGATTGCAGTTCAAAACCTCTGCGCCGTGCTTTTGTCACACCTTTTTTGGCCATCACATGCGATTATTAATTAAAATCTAAATCTATCCCATTCTACTAGGTTCCTGCTCTTTTTGTCCAATAGTCAAGTTTCACCCCAGTTCAACGAATCCATGCTCAGAGTTCCTTTCACCCACAATGTCACAAAGCACAGATTCGATGCGTGATGTCCTAGTTTCTGGATGACTTGTGTCATGCACTGCATTTTGTAGTGACACACGCGTGCACAACCTTTTGTAGAACCTACTGCGCCCCCCTCCAGATAAGCCCCAAAAAGATCGAAACACATGCTTTTTATATAGAGACTTTAAGGAGGAAAAATGAGACAGATTTGGGTCAAAACCAATCAATTGAAACTGAAGTTGTGCGCTCAGATCGTTTTTGCTGCCCCATAGCTCTGACGATTGCAGTTCAAAACCCCTTGCGCCGTGCTTTTGTCAAACCTTTTTTGAAAGGTCAATTCTTGGAATCCGATGGTAATCCCAAGGTTGTATTTACTTGTGCTCGGCAAATACTATGACCTGGGCCCCAGTAGCATTTCCCCTAGTAAATGCTATGACCCATTTAGTAGCGAATCATGATTTTTCATGGCAACCCGTTTTCACTACAAAATGGTTACGTAAAGTCATTTTGTAGTGACCGACATTGGCCTTTGATCCATCATAAAAACACCCAAACCATTTTGTAGCAAGGGGGGTTGGTTCAGATTCAAGCATCATTTTGTAGTATAAGGCTGTGTTTGTAAACGGTTTAGTGGGCACAACTTCTCTGCAGAATGCACACAGGGATTATATATATATATCATATGATTCATTTGAAGTTCCATTTCTGGATTGCATGAATGATCGGATGTTGGGGACATGACATATGACATAGGTTTTCGTTTTGAAGAGTCTGTGTAAAGACGCAAAAAACAGATCGGTCCGCTCTTTTTTATCTCTGTAGGTGCTCCCCTTGGACCCCATTCATAGGACACTTTTCTAGCTCAAAACTGTGTATATAATACTCTAGCTGTGCACATTGCAAATTGACCAGTTGGGAAAGGCACAGGTATTTGAATGATTTTGATTTCTCGTTTTTGCTTCTGTTTTGTTTGCTTTCAGTTTTGATTTTTTCATTTTTCTTTTTGTTTTCCAGCTCAGCTTTTCCTCGTTTCAGCCGCTGAGCTCCAGGCTACACCTGCGCCAAAGGAAGCTGCGAGGCAAAGACGGTTGATTACAGGGAGAGAGAGAGAGAGAGCGAGAGAGAGAGGCAAAGACAAGTATTTCACATTATTTCACCCTGTAAGAGTCATTAAGAGTCAGATTCTCTCAGCAAATGGTGCCTCGCGCTTAAGACACATCAACTGGAAGGTCACGCACTTTAGTGGTACAAAACCAGACCACGAAGATGCCTGCTGCTTTGGAGTCTTTTGAGGTGTTGGACGAAAAGCACAGATGCACAGATAGATCTTCTAGTCAAGTCGAAAACGCGTGGGGGAAACACACGGCAGTGCTGTCGCACATTTCACCAGCAAATCCCCACTGAGTTCAAAGCCTACAAAGCCTCCGGCTACAGCCGAACCGTCGTTGCCCCTGACGAGTTCCAGATTTGTCAAAGCGAAGTGGAAACGATTAGTGAACTGAGTACAACTGAGTACAACTGAGTACAACTGAGTGACCAGTCTCAATTGTCTCAAGGCGAAATGGTGGAAACGGTGCTGCTCCAAGTGCCAGCAAAGCCAAAAAGCCAAGGGCAGAAGCCTCAGCCGAGTCGCTGGGACACAGAGCTACGCTCGTGGCCATAGCAAGTATCCTGGAGTCCTGGATGGCTGAGAATTGGCCCTGCAATCTGTCCACGTCATTAGAACATATTAGAATCATTATAATATATTATTATATTAGAATCATTTAGAATCATTTCGAATATATTAGAATATATTAGAATCATTTAGAACCATTTCGAGTATATTAGAATATATTAGAATAATTTACAATGTATTGGAATAATTAGAACATGTATTTTCAGTGTCCGTCCAGAAGTTAACAGTTACTAGCTCCATGTGGCTTGAGTATTTCCTTTAATACAAGTGAATATGAATGGAAACTTGACACATCGCTAAGAGACAAATCTGCCGAAAAAGGGGGCTACGCAGCAAACACTGAAAATGGATCCAGAATCAGCATCTTGAAGCTGATGTTTTGCATCGTTTCGCTAGAGTTTATATCTGGCCTTGTTGCGATTTTCATTTGCATGAGCCGGCTGGAAATGGCGAACCAGAATTCTTGCAGCAAATAAGAATTACGTATAACACCGACCACCTATCCCAACACAATGACACACGATAATTACGGGTAGAGTGATAGGGTGTATTTGAACCATGACTAGAAATTCTTAACCGCGGCACATCAAAGTGAGTGTCAATCCACCAGACCCCCAATAGATTAACATGATGGAGAACGTGGCCCCTTTCTGCTGCTCGTGGTTTCCATGTGTTTTGAGAGTTCCTTTATTTTGCAAAGTTGTCCAGATTGCAATACGTGATGAGTTCCAGATGTCTTTCTTGGGAAGCCAATTGAGCTTAGTTGCACTAGAGAGCGGAGAAAGCAAATCAATTTTGACTGTTCAAATAGGCTGCATATGGCATATATGGGTGCATTCCCGACTGTTACCGCTCCTTGGGCACTCTGTCATCGTTGTGAGCTGCCATGATGAACGATTTCAATGAATCCAACCTGCAACGTGTCCAGCGTTCAGTATGCTAAGTGTACTGAAGATGAACCAGGTACCAGGAAAATCCACTTGGTGATAACTTTATCGCAATCTTAACATCTCTGCTTGCTGACGAAGAACGCTGATGTGCACGAAGCCTCATCAAACTACGGTTCGTCAATTGCACTTTCATTGTTTACTGGAACGCTTGGCGGTTGGACTACATTTTGACTTGGAGTGTTTTCAAGCTTGCGCTATGGCTTCTGAAAGTCGCACATCTATGCCAAAGGGGTTTCTGTTTAGAAGCAACGAACCATGCCAAAGCGTTGAAATCCAGTTTCTTATTTCTGGGTAGGATAGCAGAAGGTAAGCGCATTGTAAGCGCAAGAAGCCCGCAGAAGCCGTTCTCGGGGTAGATGCTGTTCTTGGAACTTGAGTTTATTTGTGCATATTGGAGCTCCACAAACAACCTTTTGCATAACTCCCTGCTGAAGCAACTTTCACTGATGTGGAGCCACGTTGGTCAACCACGCAGCCGCGTAGCCATACTTAGCCTAGGGCGTAAGCATGGTGCCGATTTGGATGTTGTTGCAACTGTTGGACTGCTGTGCCCCTGAGGTTGTGAATGATTCAGCCTTGGTGGCTGGTTGGCATGCGCTCCTCCAGCGCACGTGATGGCCTTTGGAAATTTGGGAGAAGAGAAGCCTTACTTTCCTTGCACTGGTCCTCCTTTGCATTTTGGTTTCCCAGTCCTTTTCTTATGTTTCATGTCGTCTTCTGTCAATGCCGGTCGTTGTCGTTTCTGTTTCTGCATGTTTGCTGTGCGGACGCTGATCCGTTTTCTATATATTCTATGTGGAGCTCGGACACGTGAAGCTCCCACATATTTGGCTGGAGCGTCATCGGAGATCCAGTCAGCAAATCATTTGAAAGCGCAAATCATTTGAAAGCTAAAGAGGCTAAAGACCAAACGGGTTTGGTTAACAGGTGCCCTCAAGTGATCCATGTCCAAGTCCTTTCGTTTCTCTTGCATTCCCCCCGTGTCAGCTGTGTTTTGCTCAGTAACTGCATGCTTTGCCATGTTTTGGCATGTTTTGGGACAAATTTCCGCGGTGCATTCGTTTAAGGGTTGACACTGTTCCCAAGGCGACGCCACCCAGACTTCCCTGCGGAGTACACTTCTTGCTTCAACAACGAAGGCCTCGGGTTTATCATGTTTTATCTACGTTTATCTGTTTAACTGCTCCCTTGCTTCCAAATACCCAAAGCATTTTTTGTGTCAATCAAAGCCCCCTGGAACTCCTCCAAGGCAAGAACTGGCTTAAAGCCAACAGCAATGCTCTCAGATTCAGCGCATGAGACCTCTCAAGAGGTTTGAATTGTAGAGATTTTGCTTTCAGTGCCTCGAATCTTGGACATTGAGGAGCGAAGGGCCGCTTTGTACTTGGGATCGACTGTGAGATGGTGTATGCCAAGGAAAGTGTTTTGTGGGGAAAGGCTTCTGGTGTCCTGCAATTTTGTGCGCCTTGCCGTCTTGCACTTTGTTGTGTAGGATGACAAGGATGCGCTTGCACGAGTTTCAGTTGTCAGCTGCTCCGGTGTCATCTACGATGTGCCATTCTCAGCTGGCCTTTTCCAAAAAGGATTAATAAGGATTAATTGAGTTTTCACAAATTTTCCGGAGCAGATCTCGAGCACGGCATGGGCGGATTTGCGCTCGCATGTTCTGAGCCCAGGCGCATGTCCAGAAAAGGGCAGAGGAGGCTCGGCGTGCGAGTCGGGCACAGCTGTGAACATAAAATGCGAACAGTTTATGCAGAGATGATTGAGTCGAATCAAAAACATGTACAGATCTGAACAATAATTTGTATCAATGCCTAAAACACATATTCTTGCAAAATGGTTCTTCTACTCTTGACGACATCTCCGAGCTTACAAAAGCATCAAAAAAACAAACTCGATGGTCTTATAGAATGAGTTGACCCCTCAAAACTCTTACAAAATGAACACTGCAAAGTGTACCACTTTGCCTTTTAGGTGTCCTGTTACAAAATGCCCCGGTTAGAGGGCTTCTAGTAACTACAAAATGCCTATATATAAGCCATGTATAAGAGGGTCGACCCCTTCCAGATTATAAGGGAAAATCCAACGGGGATATATATATAATATACTGTGTATATATAATTATATATATATACATCCATCCATCCATCCATCCATCCATCCATGCATGCATGCATGCATGCATGCATGCATGCATGCATGCATGCATACATACAAAATGTAAAACACCCTTTCATGGCAGCTTCCTGGGGCTACAAGCACCTTGTCATTTTGTAAGGCACAGTCCAAGTTTTATGGCAGCCATTTTGAGTTCAATTTCTTTTTGGATTTGGTGGAGGCACCAACTTTCTTCTCAACGGGTGTTGTGTCGGCCAAGGGCTACGCTCACGGCTATCTCATATTTTCATTTTGTACATTTTCTTTCGTGTTCAACTTTCATGTGTTTTCTTTTTGTACTCATGTGATAACACAAACGCAAGACATCATGACAGGAGTTCTGGTAGGCAATGATGCCAAAGAAACAAAAATACAAAAATCATCAAAAATACGAAAGGTGGCAAAGAAAAGGAATCCTTACAAAAAGGCTGCTTGAAAATCAACGAGACCGGGAAAAAAAACAGGGAACCAGAAGTTGTTGCCTTACAACATGATACCCAAAAATGCTATCTGAAATCACAACTTCTTATAAAATGGTCATCGAGTGGGATACAACATTCATATCATGAAGAAAGTTGTCACCTTACAAAATGATGACGGATTCTAGAGTCGAATATGGGTGCTAAAAACCAATGCTTTTTGTAAGGGCCAAAATTCCCAAAAGCCGATCCATTTTATAAAGGTTTTCAAAATCCCACCAGTTTATGCTTGCAAGAAGCCGGGTGCGACCCCTTCCCCGGATAAACATATATATATACTGTATATAATTATATATATATATATGTATATATATATAATTATATATATATATGTATATAATTATATATATATGTATATATATAATTATATATATATATATGTATATATATACATTGTGATTTTCCGAACACTTCTCATCCATGCTGAACCAAAAGGGGCCATACAGTTTTGCTGCATCTCGCCGTCCGCTCGCCCATCCTTTTGTCTTCAACATCTATCCACCGACAGAGGTGGGTGGGTGAGGATCGAGTCACAGGCAGTGCTACGGAAAAGCCAGGGGCTATTCAGTGTTGGGGACAACACAGGCAGGAGTCACAGGGTGCTTCATTGGTGTGGGATAGGAAATCTCCCCAGTAGATTCGCATTGGTAGCAGAGCTTTGGGCTGCCGCAAGGTTCTAGGTAAGTGGGGTCACTGACAGGCCTAGGACAACTTGCTTCACCGTAGGTCGCGTGGCCATGGAAGGTGAAGCTGCGCAAGCAGCGGGATCCGGGGGGTATCCAACGTCGGTGCCGTGGAACCAGATCCCCAAATTCATCCCGGGTGAGACCGATGTCAAGGTCTATGGAAGGAAGCTAGAGTTCCTTCGTGAGCTCTGGCCGGCTGACTATGTGGAGCAGTTGGCTCCCCGAGCTGCCCTCCTTGTGGAGGGGGTGGCGTTTCAAAAGGTATCAAGGATGGATCCGGCCAAGCTGAAATCAAAAGATGGTGTTCGCCTTTTGGTGGAGGCGCTCGGTGGGTCATGGGGAAGACTGGCCAGTGAGGAGCGCTACGACATGTTCGAAAAGGCGCTGTATCAGACAGTGCAGAAGTCAGATGAGTCGAATGACTCATACCTGGCTCGGCATGATGCATCCTTTGAGGACCTCCTCTCGGCCAAGGTGACCATCGAAGAGGTCAGGGCATACATCCTGGTGCGACAGTCGATTCTGCAGACTGAAGACAGGAAGAAGGTGATCCTGGACTGTGCGGGGTCATTGACATATGATCAGGCGAGGAAAAGTATGAGACTTCTTGGAAGTCGATTCTTTCAGGACTTGCAGTCCAACTCCAAGAACAATGTCAAGTACAAGACCTATGACGTGCATCAGACGGAGGAAGAGACCATCATGTATCAAGAATCGGAGGAGGACATCGAGGAGGACATCTTTCTTCAAAGTCTTTTGGAGGCTGGTGATGAGGACGCAGTCTTCATTAATGACTTTGAAGAGGCCATCCTGACGGCTTGTCAAGAATCGGCAGAATTAGCACCGTGCTTTGCCAGTTACCAAGAGGCACGTCAACGCCTTCGAGACAAGGCCAAATCAAGAGGCTTTTGGCCGTTGGGAAGTGGCAAGGGACGCACCAAGGGCAAGAAAGGGAAGTTTGGGGTGTCCAGCAAGGGAAACATGAGCTCCAATCAGCAGGCCAATTTCCGTCGTCGTAGTCTTGCAGACAGAATAGCCAATTCGAATTGCCGGAAGTGTGGACAGCCGGGCCATTGGAAGAGGGAGTGTCCATTGTCCACCACATCCTCTTCAGCAGCTTCGATGAGTAGCTCTGGAATCAAAAAGGCCTACGAGACTGAATCCTTCACGGGCATCCTTCACGAAGAGGTGCAGAAGGCGTCCATGGAACTTGGTGATGATCTGAAATGGGGCGGCGACGTCGTGGAAGAGCTTCCAGAGGAGGCAGTGGCATATGAGGAGGACGGGAATCAAAAGGGTCAAGTTTTGAATACACCTCAAGGGGATTGGACTAATGGAGGTGATCAAGTTGGGGTTATTCAGGGGGTTGTTTGTGATTGCTTAGTGAGTGTTTCTGCACTAACACAATCCCTCACATCCTGTCTCACCACATGCTGTAGGAAACATGATGTTCTCAGCGCCGGATCTGCTGTAGAGACCACTCCACCACCCAATTCTCCAAGGGAGAAACCATCTCAGACAAGTGTCCAGGTGGCTCCCATATCCGTTGAGATTTTTGCAACAGAAGAAGCCGATGATGAAGCCATCATTGACACAGGAGCCAGTCGGGCTGTGATCGGCCATGAGAGACTGAAGAAACTGATTAGGAGTTTGCCTAAAGATCTCAGGTCGAAAGTCATGAGGGTTCCTACTGAAGGTGTTGTTTTCAAATTTGGAAATGCTGGTCGCCTGGCGAGTAGCTTCGCAGTGATGCTTCCGAGGGCTCAAAATGGGTGGTTGAGAGTAGAAGTAGTGCCGGGTCACACCCCATTTTTGATTTCCAATGCAGTACTAAGGGGACTCAAAGGGATCATTGATGTAGAGGGGTGTTGTCTGGGCTTCAAAGGGAGTGATGTTTGGATTCCTTTGACAATTGTGCGGAAAAATTTAATGGGAATCAAGATTGTTGAATTGTTGCAGAAGGCCCCAAAAGTGAGTGCGTCACCAACACACATCCTCAGTGCACACACGGAAACGACCGAAACTGAGAAGATCACAGAGACCCACCAAATGCATGAAGTCCTGAATCATGGACGAATTCAACATGACCTGCTTCCTAAGGAAGACGTTGTTAATGTGGTCCAAGGTAAAAGTTCAGAGCAATCATCCACCACCGTCTCAGCAGCCGTGGTGAGTGACCAAACCTGCCCTGAAAGTGGAGTTGACCAGCTTCGGAGTGCTGAGCATCATGGCCAACATAGTGATGCACAGCTATCTGGACCGTCAGCTCACGACACCAGTCGATGGGAGCCTCCAGGGGAATCAGCAGCACGACGAGTTCCCTCCGGTGTTGACACGCCCACCGGGCATCAACACCTTGACCGATTGGGGACGAACCAAGGCTCCATCGGGCAAACATGCGACTCGAACCTTCGCAGATCTCTACGAGAACGAGCGGGGCTATGTCAATCAGCTCTGGAGTCGCAGAGCAGTTTCAACATGGGTGAGAAGCTTTCAGCTGTACTGCCGAGAGCGCCGAGCCTCAAGTCAGGAGCATCGACGTCTTCATCCAGAAGTGGAGACGACAGGGATGCCAAGTCCGGTGACAACCCAGACATCCAATGTGGCGCCAGTGGCAATGACAAAGGCAACTCAGCCCATGGCGATGGCTCAGAAGAAGGGATATCCGTCGGCACCAGCAGACGAGGGGTGGATCAACATTCCGGTGCAGACTGCAGTTCCAACGGAGTCCAAGAATCACAAGCGCTCGAGGCCATGGAGATGAATCCCAATGTCGAGAAGGTGGCGCAGCTGAGGGCACAGATCGCCATTCTGCAGCGCGAGTTGGACAAGGAGACCAAGGGAGAACCATCCAACAAGGAGTGAGCCGAGGGTTGCAAGTGCATGATCAGATCCAAAAGATATCCAACAAAATAGAACTTGACCTGGCCAATTTAAGATGCGATCAGGCGTATGTCACTCATGAAAAGATTCTCAAATCCAATCGTCGGTATATGAAAGTTGTGTCAGGGGGTAAAGAAGGGATGGATCAAGGACACCAACAAAAACTCCATCTTCTGGAAATCTATTGTGATGAGGGATCCCAATTAACCACACAAATGAGGAACATGGGGGGTAATTCTCTCAGGTTTACGGTTCAAGATGGGGATCTAAGCACCGAAGAGGGGAGAAGTAAATTGTGGTCCTGGGTCTATTTGTATGAACCTGAACACATCTGGGTAGCACCCGAATGCAAGCTATGGGGTAACTTTTCGAGATATAACATGGGAAAAGATCCAAAGTCATGTGAAAACATTCAACAACGAAGAGACGCTGATAGGCCACACTTGGTGTTATGCAATCAGCTGTATCTGTATCAAATGAGTAACTCAAGGCATTTTCACCTGGAGCAACCTCGTGGATCCGAGATGATCATGCAGGCTGAGCTCAACGATGTTCGTTTGGGAACGCTGCCATCAACGTTTGATATGTGCCAAGTTGGGAAGCTTAGACTACCAGGAACAAACCAGTTTCTTCAGAAACGGACACAGGTGTTCACATCATGTCGAATGGTTTTTGAAATGCTTCATGAGCACATGTGCCATGGAAACCATGATCATGCCCACATCAAAGGACAGTTCAAACACTTGGGAAAATGGCAAAACATATCCTCGTATGCACAAACATACACCACACACTTTGCGCGCCGAGTGGTTGAAGTTTTGTGGTGGGAATGTGAACACCCTGAAGTACCTTTGATTCTGGGGGAACTAGTTCTAGGACTGGATGCCCATGAAAGACCCGAAATGGCACAAGAGTCTCTGCAGCTGAAGCGGCGTCGTGTAGAGCTGAAACAACCAGAGACATCCTTGTATGGGAAGGCACCATCGTGGAAAGACATTTTTCGAACTGTTGGCTATTCCACTCCTCGGGTTGGGAATGCCTGTTTTCAGGGTTCTGGTGATATGGTTGTCAAGTTGGTCCAACAGGTGGTGCCGGACATCAAGGTTGAATTGGTTGTTGCTTGTCGCGGAACGGATCGCCACAGGATCCAACCAGCCGATGTGTTTCCCGAAGTTTTGCCATGGAGGAAGACAGTAGTGGTTGAGAGGGGTACTGGGGAAGTAAAAGATTTGGGCCCCCCTGAAAATTGGACAGGGTTGTCACGCATGAGACAAATTCGATCGACTGGACCCGCCAAATTGTCATTGTCCATTTTTGGCCGGAAAGATGATATAAATGAGCCATTTGGGGCCATATTTAAGCAAGCCGGCCGTGGTGAGAAGTCAGAGGCTGAGATGTCTCTGCCAGTTCCCGATACTTCTCCAATGGACGTGAAAGAGCCAGGAGCTGAAAGTTCCGTGGTGCAGGCTCCGGAGAGTGTTCAACCGCTCGGTGTCGATCCGAAACCACCAAATGCGGATCAGGTGATGGATCATCCACGGTCAGAAAGATTCATGGAGGAATGGGCTCCAAAGATCACCCCCAAATCGGGACCTGCATTTTTGCGTTTGGAGGCAGGGGAGAGGGCTGAACTTAGGAGGGTCCATAACAATTTGGGACACCCAGACCCCCAAAAGATGGTAAAGTTTCTGACCGAACGGGGAGCCAAACCTGAGGTTATAGCTGGGGCACGGGATATGTGCTGTGATACATGTGTAGAAACTCAATCCCGACCCAAGAAATCACAACCTGGTAGAATTCATGATGATCTTGATTTCAACGATGTTGTGGGGGCTGATGGGGCTTACTGGACTAATTCCTCGGGAAAGACCTTTCATTTCATGCATTTCATTGATGAATCAACTTTGTACCATGTCGGGAACTTGAGTGCTCGTAAAGTAGAAGATCAAATCAAAACTTTCCTCAATAGCTGGGTTCAATGGGCTGGTCCTTGTAAGACACTTTACTTGGACCCTGCTGGGGAATATGTCAATGATGCCTGGGCTGCAATGTTGCAAGGTGAGGGCATCCGAGTCTCAATGACAGCTGCAGAATCACATTGGCAGAATGGGAGGGCCGAAGTTCATGGGAGGATAGTCAAGGACATGTTGTCTCGGATGGAGAAGGAGCGGCCCATTGAGACAGCCGATGAATTCACCCAATGCCTTCGCCAAGCCTTTGCAGCCAAGAACTCTCTTAGTCGTGTGCATGGGTTCACTCCCGAGCAATGTCTCTTGGGAAAGAGCCGCCATCTGCCAGGCTCGTTAGTCTCCGATGCGGAGGCAGGGAGCCACTGTCTTGCTGAGAGCACTCTGCCGGAAGGGATCCGTTTCAAAGAGAACTTGCTGCGCAGGGAACAGGCCCGAAAGGCCTTTGTACAGGCGGACAACGACTCAGCCTTTCGTCGGGCTTTGCTCAGACAAAGCCGTCCGGGGAGGATCGAGTATGAAGCTGGGGATGGGGTGCTGTATTGGCGTAGTTCTAGGGGCAACAACCGCCTTGAGAGGGGAAGGTGGCATGGGCCCGCCCAGGTAGTAGCCAATCAGAATCCTCGTGTTGTTTGGTTGAGCCATCTCGGACGGATAATTCGAGCAAGTCCGGAGCAGTTGCGGCCAGCGTCACTTCGTGAGTTTGCCCACTTGCCACGAGACATGGAAGGAAATGTGATTGATGAGAAGCCACAAAGCCACAGGGAAGGGGGTATGTTGAGTTAGAGGGTATTCCTGAAGCTGTTGATTTTGCACCTGGTCCAGTGGAAAGAGGGGCAGCGTCAGAATTCTCATATACTCCCACCACTCCTCTTGAAAGTCAGCCGGAAGGGGAACAATTCCCTCAAGATACAAGTGGGAGTGGTTTTGATGAAAGGAGTGATCCCATAGAATCTGAAATGGAAGTTCCCGAAAGTAACCCTGGAAACCCTGAAGAAATCCAAGAAAATGATGGTAGGTTTGTACCGATTCCTGATGATGGGGATGAGGAATCTTGGTTTGGGGATGATTGTGGGGATTTCCGGAAAAATGATGTTCTTTGGGAAGTTGAATTGGTAGACCATGTATACGAACCTGAAACAGCGGCGTTTTTCTGCAGCGAGCCTTCTGCCTTTGAAGAAATCTGCTTGGCGACCAATGAAAGAAAGAAGCGTGTTGAACTAGATTATCGTAGGATGACTCCTCATGATCAGAAGCTGTTTGATGCTGCCAAGCAAAAGGAGGTCAAGGCATGGCTGGATCACGGTACGGTGAAGAAGCTGACAAAGGGGTCTTTAAAGCCAGAGCAAGTGATGCGGTGTCGT